AATCTATCTTGTGCTTGACGTATAATTTTACGAAACACGGTTTGCAACTTGCATTAGTGCCACGTTTGTTGTCAAACTACTTGTTTAAAGTGTTTCTGATGTCGATTTATCTATGCGGTAATGTTACTTCTGACGCGGGCCATGGAAACTGTAAGAAAACTGTCTTACCGTCATCATTATCATCATTATACACTTTAGATATAGGTGGGAAACACCTCAGCTACTGTGCCGCAGAAGTGTCTTACCAATGCGCCCTTATCTTCGCACTTAAGTCAACCTACTGCGATTGTGTCTTGATAGCGTGTAGGCTCTTTACCCTAGGCTCCTCTCTTCCTTACCCTACAAATCCTTATTCCCTAGGTCGTTTTGAGGATGCATCATATTACTGGTGTACTCATGGATGATGATGCTGATTCAGTTTCTCTAAGCCATATCGCTCTCTACTTTGTCTGCCGCTCTTGGCTTTTACCGCGCCAAGCTTACCGTTCAGGTGTGCTGCATTCCATAGCAGACTGTTGTTAGGCGATACTGCGGCACAGTAGCTGAGGTGTTCCCCACCTCTAGCTAACGTGTATGATGTTGATGATGTTGTTGTTGTTAGGCCTCCAACCCTTTCCACTGCAGCATTGGTTACTTGCATAGTAGTACAGATGGGGAATGTGACTCACCATTAAATAAAGTCACTGACATTGCTTTGCTCCTGTCAGACGTATTCCAGCAACCTGACATTGAAATTATGTGGAGGTTTGAACCTGTATTTGTTAACCGATCAGACAAAATGTGTATGTAATGAGCATTCTGTACCTCGCGGCCTTACGGGCAAACTCTTCAGCCAGAGGTTCGGAGGAGTGTCCTTTAAGTCATCTCCCTATTTCAGCTTGGATAACAGGGTAGTGTCAAGCCACCTCACAAAACCATGGACTATTCTACATCCTGCTCACACGCAGCTTTATCACACGCCAACTGTTACTTTTTTGACAATCCCTGTTATCCGTTACTTGGTTCCTGTCTTCATTAACCTAACTACGATGCCAGTTTCACCGAGAATCACGGAGTTCGACCAGTTGCTGTCAATCCATATGATGTGTTTCAACTCTCATGCAGCCTGAGCAACAGGCCATTTTAGTGCGTACTGTTGATTCTCTCGACCTTGATCTCTTTTGCCTTTCCGAAACCCGACTGCGGGACCCTAGCTCCGTGCTTAACTTAGCAATCTCACTGACCTCAGAATCACCTGTCAGCTCGCAGAACACTTTGGTTTCCCTCTCAACAGTTGGTGTGTTGATCGAATGTTCACGCTCGACCAACTCTTCAAAAAGCACCACCTTTGTTTAAAAGCCCACTATCGTCGCATTCCCAGACACACAGGCTGCATTTTGCTGTTGATTGACCTGCTGTATGGCGTTACTTGCTAAAGAACGGGGTCCCGGAGAATTATACCCCCATCCTGCCTAAACCATGCCTTCGTCTCTCTGGTAGAGTGAGAGTTCATCACCGCCATTCGCCGCCAATAGCGGTGTGCGATAGAGTTGCTCTATGCCCTCTGTTTCCGTTCATTTTCACAGTTGATGACGTAATGTCGAGAACTTTGGTAGGGTTCCAACATTTCTACTGTGTTTCTATAAGATGGGCACTCGACCGACTTAGACTATGCTGTTAATATCGCTTCATTTGCTGCTAATCCACGAAGTATACAACTCATTCTGAACCGTTTTGCAGTTGAGAGGGCTTCTAGGGATGGTATGTGCCTCGTCTTCTCTAAGTGTGAAGTGAATCCACAGTTTTGGCGCGCATCTTATCTTATGCTAACCCCCTTGAAGATGCACAGCCCGAACGGATAAGGTGGTTTCGTCTAACTTGGGAGCTGCGTTTATGCCGCTGGCACTATCGGCAAAGAAGTTTCCCTTCGCTTTGCTAAAGCCCGGTCGGCATTTGTCAATCTAGGACACCTGCGGCGACGTCGGGACGTTTTCATTTCAGTAAAGGGCCACGTTTACAGTGATCCTGTTCGATTAGAGTTTTATAGAGTCAAGTCCTAGCCAATTCACGTGGGTGACATGTCCCGGCCTTCTGCTTTCGACGATGGTTTTTTGGGGTAGATCGCTCTTATCTGGCGCAATACCGAGTTCATAACGATGGCGTTATATTCTGCGTCCTGGGGAATGCGAGTATCCCCCATACCAAGTAGATTTCGCTGCACCAGTTCAGATGCCTCACTAACCCTCGTGTGTTTGCCGTGCTGCGCCCTATTCGCTCGTGCAGGTTTGGGCTAGAGGCGACCGTGTGGTAATTAACCTTCCATTTGACGACAGCACATTAAATCACATACGTCACACCTAGCAGCCGTTGCATCTGTACGTCTTCCTGTGTAGGGACCCAAACTTAACGAGTGTCAGTGGCTTGACACACTTGAAGACATGGCTCACAATCGGAATCAGTGGAAGAAATATGTTCGGAACTGCATTGATTCACTTAATATATCAAAAATGACAAAAAAGAAAGAAACGGCATGTGAGGAGCAAAAAAATGCTTCATTGCCTTTTTACTAACATTGCACTTTTTGATTTTGTTTTTTAAGGCTACATGTCTACTTTTTAGCCCAATGAGACTGCATTGCGCAAGTTTCGACGTTCCGTCGTCACCCACGGCTTATGAGCATAAACCGCTGGTGCTGGGAGGTCATTGGGCTCCGTTCCTGATGGAGCCGGCGAACGCGTACCACTGGCGAGTTTAGGAAGGACCAACAGTCATCTGTTGCTTTTTCGGATGTGTGGAAGCATAGGCAAAGTCATCCACAACTTACGTCGAAAGTCCGCTACTCAAAATTTCGCCAGCTATTCTCATCCATCGTTCCACCTATTTGCTAGGGGTGAGGAACATTCGGCGTGCCTCAAAACAAACCATTCACTTCTACTTCATCTGATTCTCTACGAATCTCTACGAATCAACAAATGATATGCTTGATCGAATATAAGTCAGCCGGCAGTTTCGTTCCACAGAAGTATCAGCGGTGCACCCATACTTTGTACTGGGGCTTCGCTACCATGCGTCCGCACTCATCTCGGAGCTTTGAACCGTTCAACCTAGCACAAGGCAGCGCAATGAATCAGACACTCGCTCATCACTGTCCTTACCTCTTTTGCTGACTTACGTATTTCCTGTTGTTCAAATATGGTCTAAGGTTCCACGAGGATTTCCGGAGTAGACTCTAATCTGCCGATCGCCTGTCAACTTAACTTAAAAGCGTTGGAACCCAGACAAACTCGCGACTGTCGCTAACGCATCTCGCGGGCGTCTGTTTGGGTTGCTCAGGGCTGGTTAAGAGAGGAAAGCGGCAAATCGTCTCCCTTTTATTCTACAGTCCGGATCATTGTTCTGAGTCATGATGAACTGACAACGGTTAGTGAATTCAAAGCCTCGGATGCTGCCCAAGTCTACGTTCTCAGTCGACAAGAGTCGTGACGCCACATACATAGGTACATGAACCCGAAGCGACAAAACGTGCACACTTCGGTTGGTTGGTTAACGAATTTATCACTCGGTCACCACTACCGTCAATACAACCCGTACTTGACTTCTTGTTACGGTTATGGAAAGCGCTTCCTATTTTCAGAAAGGTTTTGAAATCATGAATTCTTGATTGGTTCCGAGCATATTTCAAGATGTTGAACTCAAATTAAATCACCCTGATCGCAGTAGTTTCAGTCGTTGGTCTGATGATTTTCACAAGCCCTTTGGAGATTGTTTTCACAATACTCCTAAATTTTTGTAGGAGCCTGCTATTAAACTTGTATCCAGTTAGAGACAAATGCTCTGGTATAAAAAAAGTTGGCACTTGGTTGGACCTGTCTTGCTAGCACTTATTCCTGTGCCGGAGGTGCTTTACGCCTTGGAGCGATCACATTTCTCTGAAACGCATCATTCATGTTGAACCGCGATCCTTTAAAGATTAATTGGGCCGTGTCCACATGAGTGTGCGCCTAGCCAACAGGGTCCGCTTGAGCTACTACGGCGGAGACTTTCCTGTTCAATGAACCGAAATCTCACACACACAAACCCATAACTTTTTTAAAATTTTACCTATATTAAATCACCTATCAACACTCAAAACAAATCATACCCTCACCCTTTCAATCTAATTAACTTAACTATCATTATTAACTATTATCCACATTAATCCTCTTAACAAACCCACCACATACCAAATTATACTTTTCCTCATTACAACCATCATTCACAAATTACCCTAAAACCACACACTTTAACTCCACCCTATCACCATTCTATAAAATACATAAAAACAACTCAAACATAATTACTAACACAAAAATCACGATAAATACATAATCCAACTACCAACCCTACTCCAAATTCCAACTTACCCCTCATAATCAAACCCCCATAATCTACAATACCTCATCACACACCTACCTTCTAATACCCATAAATACCAACCTGAACCACTAAATACACCCAATAAAAACCCACACTCCCACCCTTCTTCTCAACCTTAATTTACTCCTCCATAACTAAACAACTAACTTCCCAACCCCTATTCTTATTCTTCCCCCACCCCTTATACATCTATCCCTAATCCTACCATTTAACTCTCATAACTTTCCCTTTCCACTTACCCAAACTCCCCCTCTCTTCCATTATCATCAATCCACTCTACTCATCTTTCTACCATCATCACCAAAACCTCTCCCAACTACTCCCTCAATCATCACTAACCATAATACACACACATTTACCCTCTCTATATTTCATCTTTTTTTTAAATTAAAACCCCCCCCCCCCCCCCCCCCCCCCCCCCCCCCCCACCCCCCCCCCCCCCCCCCCCCCCCCCCCCCCCCCTCCCCCCCCCCACCCCGTCTTGCGTCTTGCTGTTATTATTGTAATTGTCCGAAATGAAATGCACCTCATTATTTGACTTATTATCTTATGTTTTGCTCATGCTACGATCGATTTCTTTCATATCTCACCATGTTTCTGTTTAGATCTTCAATCATCACGGATCCATGAAGAACTCTTATGAAAGTGGCGATGCATGTGCTATGCAGTCTGCTCTTCTGACTGAGCCCTGCACGTTTTTTTTGCGCAATTGGTTGGACTCTCGAGAACTCCCTAAAACGCGATCCTTGCTGAACTCCTCGCGCAAATTATCGAACGCCTTTGGTTCAAACAATTCGGAAAGCACATGTGGGTGCCACTATTTAACAATTACAACTATAATAGTAAACATTTCTCGGGCTTTAGAGGCTGAGCCCACAAGGGGACAGATAAGGTTTTATAAAAGTTCTCGCGTTAATGAACTTGTACGGTTGCTGTATTGGATACTGAAAGTATGCTTTTGGAGGCTGCTGGTTTAAGTGCGGCCGGGGAGCAGAGCTCTCGCTTTGGTGTTCAGACGATGCTCATTTGAAGCATCGCGTTCATAGCATGTGTTAGAATGTAGTAAAAGTGCACTGCAAGATGAAAGTTTGTCAGATCAATCCGGGCTTCTTTGTCTTATCTAAGTGCCGAGCCAAAGGAAAGCGGCACAAAAATAATAAACAATCCAACTTCATAGACAGAGTATGGGTGAGGCAAAAAGGCTAAGCAAAGATTTTCTTACTAGCAGGAATAAAAACGACTTTCTAAATACATGGTACGGTATATTCCATAATTGAACATGCATTTGAGCACATGAAAAATAACCGTGACACTTAGACTCAGAGTAAGGAGTTAAAGCGGGATACAGATACGAGGCGATTGAAACCCAGCAGAAATTGAGGCTGGATAGTGCTGCTCAGTGTTGTAGATACGCGTACTCCTCACTTATACCTTGTTAGTCGTTGTGTTCAGGAAGAATTGACATCTGACACAAAAGAGGACGGAAGGGTTGAGAGTAGTGTTTATAGGTAGTAGGGGGATTTATTGGGCTTTTGTGAAGGGTCGTGGCAGTTCGACTCAGGCAGACAGCTACCACACATCCAGGAAAGCGTTATACGGCCGTTTCGTCTTATCAGTCATGTCGGTCAGTTGCTGTTGCCCATGACTCAGGGACATAAGTCGCTGGCTCGCAAAACTAAGGTCGTAGGTTCGAATACGGCAGGATTCGGTGGACGTGCGCAAATGGCGAGTCTCAGTAGAACGAAGCAGCCGTCTAGCGCGTTCATAAATGTGTGATGTCTGTCTGCCTGAGTCTTATTGGGACGAATATTTACAAAACGTAATGCTTTTTTTCTTTTATATTTATGTCACGTTTCCATGCACATACAGTAGGTTGTCTCTGAGTAAACGTCGTAAGAGGCGGATCATGACCTTCATAACAGTTGCTGTACATATCTCACCACTCGCACATCACCATTTATTGATTCGGATTAAAATCGAAATGAGGGAATGAAATGAAAGGGTAGGAAAGAAGCCAAAGACAAGCACTTTTTGTCCGATCTGCAGCTGGGCCTGTTCCGCGCAAGCCCACGGTAGCTTATCGCCCTCGGTAACATAACTACCAATAAGAAAAGCAACTTTTAGCGCTGTTTTAGCGATCGTGTTTTCATGAGACACTATCCACTGTCCATTCAGGGAAATATGCATGAAGAAACTAATTATGGCCTAGGAATGGGGTCAGTAGAAATAAACTGGTCAATTGTGGGTGGCTACCAGCACGCGCATACAACACGTTTCACCGAATCCAACCCTTTTTATATGGGTCATCGTGAGTCATTGCAAAGCCAAACCGAAGAGATGCAGACTACCTCCACTTGTTTGTTGACCATCCTTTTGCACTGAATGCTGAAGTAGTGAGTGAAAATATGTACATGTGTTGCTCCATCCATATATGGTGGAGCACGCAGAGAAACAACGTTATTACCGCGAACTATCAACGCAGTTCGGATGGGAAACGAAGTCCTTTTCAAACGTGAGGCGTCCTCGAAATCCAATTTTTCACAACTCGATGCTCGAAACACAGAGGGCAAGTTATACACTTCAGATCGGGCACCACAGGCTTGTACCGAGGCCCGCGAGTGATGCTTAGTGCGTGTAAGTGCAGAAACAAGCTCTCTACATGAAAGTCGCCTAGATGCAATTTCCGATGCGTCATTATGAGGTGCACTCGAAACCGACAATACAACAGCTCTCGTTCAGAACACAGCTCCCTTTCAGAATGCGACAGTTATAGCGGAATCAGTCTATCCATTGCCACTGTCGTCCTCCATAGACTGACTGGTATCCGTAAAAGCCAGATGCGCAAAAAGCATGCCGTGTTTCGTCGAAATCATGGCTGTATTGACTACATCTTCACTTCACCTCAATTGTTGGAGCACCGCCATGTTTATTGGCGACTCACCGTAATCGTGTTCCTAGGCATCAAAGACGTTTTTGATTCTGTTGATCGATGTGCTCTTGGGACTGTTTACTGAGAGTGTGTCCGAGAAATACCTAGATGTCTTAGGAGCGCTGTACGCACATAGTTCGAGCAAAGGCTTTACAGTCTACTTTCACTTCCCTTCAATATTTCCAGCAGTGTGCCACAAGATTGCCTGCTATCACCTTTCCTCTTTAACTTCGCCATTGTTGAAGTCATGGCAACGGTGTTCGCCGGGCAGGACAGGTGTGTAGCTGATCCCAGTTGACCGACCTCTTGACTTGGAGGATGCCGACGACATCGCGCACATCTGTGACAGCTCCCGATCGTGCCAAATGACATTGGATAAGTTAACTCTGACTGTCTGTGGTTTCGGGCTATTCTTCGGACCCTCGAAATCCAAAGTCCTATTCCAACATTGGTGGGGACCCACTCTTGCGCTAACCCTTTGTGATTACCAGCTAAAAGTCATCCGGAAATTTAAGTATCTTGGCAGCTTGATGTTGTTCGGTTTTGCTCCTCTCAGCACTGACACTCCATAACCGGTTTCGTCCTCGTTTAAACTCATCAAATGGCGATAGTCTGAGCTGGGATGTAACTCGGGGTCTAGTGGTTAAAGGCTGGTGCCTTGATCACTATGGCTGTAAAATCTGTGAGCGGCGCTTGACACAGCGGTACGGAATTCAAAGTTGGTCTTGGAGCACCCGCTGTGTGTTTGGATTGCGACACGCAATCATTATTCAGACCTCGGCTCATTTTGAAGTAGACCTCAGTCATTACGATCACAAGGACTGTATCCGAATTGGAGGTGGTTCGGTGTTGATCTTCGCAACACTGACCCTATAACCGGTTTCATCCTCGTTTGGACTCATCAGATGGAGATAGTCTGAGCTGTGGCGGAACTCGGGGCCTAGTAGTTAAGGGCTGGCGCATTGATCACTATGGCTGTAAGATTCGTGAGAAACGCTTAGCACAGCGGTAAGGAATTCAATGCTGAATTTGGAGTACCTGCGGTATGGTTGGATTGCGACACGCAATCGCTTCAGCTATCTGGGCAGCTATATTAGCGTCTTTGTGTTCGAAGACGATATCACGGACAAAAGACCGAAGGTAAGCAATTGTTTTCGATAATTCATCCTCAGACCCGTACAGTCATATGAGTGGAATAACAGTGGGCGTAAAAGTGAATTCAATCAGTTCCGATGAGATTCAATCACGTGCCAACTAACGTCACGGACCAGCAACAAACGACAAACTAGGACAAAGGTGTGGTTGAACGATTACAGCTGCAGCTGCCTAAATGCAGAAGCTGCGTTTGAGCACCCAATGCGCACGTAGTGTTTTTCTAAATAGCTTGTCCGTGCTGTTCACGGACTTCGAATCGCAACATGGGAGTACGCTTGATCCTTCACATAATGTATGGGATGTAGCGGTTGGCTTACCATAGTGTACGCACGCCCATTACTACCCTTCCAAAACTCATAAATAATGACGACTTCTTTGACTGGCAGATCGACATCTACAGGCGATCGATGTCATGCTGAAGTGGGTCGCAGTCAACGGGAACATCAATTAATTTCCAACTCTGCAAGTCAAAATTTATGACCCTGCGGTTCTTCTCCTACTAAACAGGATTACCAAGGCAGCGGTCAGCTTTTAATTCACTGAGGAAGGGCACCGCTATTTCCGATTCATACAGGTAGCTTATTCTGTAATAGTTTACTTAATACTACGGAAGTTCGAGTGCAGTTTGAAATGAGTCTTTGGAATGCACAATATCCGCTCACTTTTTCGTATCGCATAGTGTCTAGTAGCATGTGATTGGAACGGACTGGGTAGGGAAACTCATACTGAAAATCGGACGATATAGTAAGGTCGGGTTGAGCTTTTTTCTGCGTAGCCATAGCGGTTCTAAATTTAACGCATTGCAGCGTTTGCGGTAATTAATGTTTGTGGGTGAATTGTTAACCGCTTTGTAAAAGATCTCTGAATGTTTTATAGTGCAGCAGTATCTAATATAAGCAGACTACTCTATAAAACTAGACAGTCCTCAGGCTGTGACCATATGCACAGTTAGGACGCCTCCAGTCTAACTTTCTTTAGGATAAATGTTCTACGAATATACACAGACCTATTCCTGCAAGTAGCTTGTTTCATGAAATTGAAAAAAGCCGAGTACCTCAGTTTCAAGTCACGCGTTATGCCACGCATGGGGATAGCGGTAGTACTAAAAGTCAAGTGGCCAAAACAAACACTGCAGACACGGTATAGTGAATAACGTTTGTCTGTGGCAAAATACATCTCCAGGTGATGCTCCATATTTTTAACGTTGTCAGATCGGACTGGATGTATGTTGAATTGAAACCGCTTTGTCCAGGCTCGAAACGATAGGCAACATTAATGTCGCCATATTTCATGTGGCCAGACAGGTTATTTATGTAAATCCAGAATAAAAGCAGGCTTACTACCTTACCTTTGAGTATGCCACTAGCTATTGGTGGGTTCCGGACAAGAGGATGTCAGTTTTGACCTGTTGTTCCTTGTCGTCTAGGTAAGGTGATTCGCTACTCTTTTTGCGCATGTCGGGACTTATTTGGGAATTGAATCACTGGCTTGAACCAGGATCATAGCCTGATCTCCACGGCTGCGCTTTCCGACACCGATGTGTGTCCTTTAGAGCTGGAATGTTGTCAGGAAGCTCAGTACGCAGTATGTTGCTTATGTGATCCAAATAATCATCTACTTTTAACTTGTGTCGTCTAATGGTCGTGTGACTCAGAAGTACGGCTTATAGTCCGGTTCGAGCCTTCAGGCGACCTCGCAGTATCACTACTCCGTACACTACAGGGTCTACGGTGATTTGTCATATGCCTTTCCAACAACAAGTGGCGTTCGTGATGGTTGCTGAATTTCTCCGTTTCAGTTCAACTTCCTCATGGACTCCATCATGGGGTGTTTACTTACGGAGTCTCATGCTGCAAACCTTGAGCTGCTGTCTGGTGAAAAATTTGCTGATCTAGATTATGCGGACGATATTGTCCTGCTTTTTAACGATGTTAATGCGGCACAATCAACCCGGAATAATCTCTTTAGAGTGCTCCCATCATACAGCATGCGCTTCCCACCTTCAAAGTGCAGTATTGTCGCAGGACCACCAGCCACTTATGACCCCTTGACCTTCGTTGGTGAGGAACTAGAGGTAGTTGATCAATTCACCTACCTTGGATGCTACATCGGCGACGATTGGCACAGCACGACTGAAGTCCGTTCACGCATTGCAAGAGCTGGAACCGCGTTTTTGAATCTGCGACAACTGTGGTCAGCAAGGGGTTTCCCTCGGTCTGAAAGACCGTTTTTTCAAGGCCACAGTGAGGGCCATCCTACTGTATGGGAGCGATACTTGGCCCCTTCGATATGAGGACCTGCGGCGCCTCCAATTCTTTGATCATCGCTGGCGTCGGATGACACCAGCTTGTCCGCAACGATGATGTGCGTAAGCGAGTACTAGGCAGTGATAACCAGGCTAGTTCCTTAGAGCAACAGATAGCACTGAATAAGTTGCGTTGGCTTGGGAACGTACTATGCTTGGTCACCGTTTGCCGAGTAGGGTCTTGTTGTTTGCCAGATGTAGGGAGGCGCAAGGTTCGAGGTGGACAATAGTTGACTTGGCAGCGGCGAATGAAGTCACTGACGACCAAACTGGGTGCCGTCGGTCTGTCTTACCTTCCAGCCTGGAGTCCACGTGACTCGTCTTGTGCTTGGCTGGAGACGTTACAGGACATGGCTCATGGTTGACACCAGTGGCGTGTCTGCTGCCGTCTGTTAGTTGGACTGCCTGTTTAAAGTGTGTGGAGCTGAGTTATCTGCAGAGTAATGTCTGATTATGACGCAGGGCAGTGAAGGCCGTAGGGAAGCTGTCTCCCTGATGCCGCTTTATCATGATCATGCCTGTTCAGGCGTGCCTCGCATAGCCGAGAATAAAAGTTTATTTATTTATTTACTGCACGATAGCTGGCTGTTCTGATGGTATACTGTTGACACGGTGTAAGTGCCTTGAGGCTGCGTTTTTGTTTAAGGCATTAAGGTTTTACCGCAGCTTCCTCTTCTCTCCCACTTATTGTTCATCGTTCCGCAGGTTACCGTGATTGTACGGCAGCGTAGCATCAATTAAAGTGGCTGATGTACTGCTGTTGAAGATGATGATGAGTCCGCACGCGACTAATGGTGGTCGCGTGGCAGCGAAGCGTCGGTACAGCGTACTACTGTTGAACTATCTGTCGTCATGATATCCTGTCAGTCTGCGGACCAGCTACAGTATGCTGATTTCTGTTGCATGCATTAGGCGCATACTACCTACTGTATTAATTGTCCACGGTACCGTGACCATTGTCTCCGAAAACCCGGGGATACGATGATATTGACTTTTACTTTTTCCTACTCCTTTTGATGATCTACTCATTGCTTTACAGATGACGCAGAATCAGGAAGCTTCACGGTTCTCACGGACTCGGTTGCTCCTCAACCAGGCAGTTTGAATGATTGGTTGTTCTGTGACCCAGTGAGTTATCGACCTACCTTTATTCTGATTACATTTTCATCGCTCATTTCGTTTAACCTGTCGCGCCAATTTTCCCGCTTTTACGCCTTGTAGGTATCCGATTTGATTGAATGCTCTTGGCGTGGGAACCGAGTGAGCTTATGTGCTACACCCTAGGAACTCGCAACTTTTATTAGTTCGTTTATCGTGATTGGACATTCTTCCGAGTTCTTGCCTCACTATATTATCCTTTCTTACTTTGGTTCCACTTCTCCGACTTTTCCTAAGATCCTCTCCCCGCGCGATATCCTTGCCTTAACCAAAGGTATGTTATCCAAATACTACTTTGGATGATCTATCTTGACATCCGGTGTCGGCCGGTGGCCAAAAGGATTACGAGCTTACCTTGTAGTCCTAAGCTCACCGTTTCAAATCCGCATAGGTGCGGGTTACCTCGTAGTATACCCATTCTATGCGTGACCACTGGCGGTCGTATGACAGCGAACCATCGGCACGCTATTCCGGGGTACTTCTGATGCCTTTAAACACGCGGTACACACAGCTTTTTGAATGCTATTTCTCAATCTCAAGCTCCGCAGCTCCGTTTTTCGTTAGCCACCGCTTGATTATAACTTCTGAACTGTCATGTGTCACAATTCCATGCGACGGTTCACAACTTCGTGATACCTCTGTTGTTTGTACCTCGTGAGCATTGAACCATGTCCCATCTTTCTAAACAAGTTCGTGTTATTCGCTCATCCCATGTCCCAACTGTGAATGCGTTACAATCAGCAGAACTAATACACCGGGGCCCAGTGAAGGCGATGCACTGCTACTCATCCACCATCGCGGTTACATTCGCGCTGGGATCCTGCATGCGTGTCCGCACGTCTGCATAAGCCAGAGTTGGCGGCCCGTGGATTACAACTCAAGCGCTTAGAGCATGCCGTATAGATCGGATGTAATAACACACATACGAGCGCGCGTCGCATTGCCTGCTATTTAGCCATAAATAAATAAATTTTTATCCTCCGTTGCGCGAGACACGTTATTAAAGACATGATCATAGTAGTATTACAACAATTGATCAAGCAATGTGCAATAGTATACTATGATTTCCATATATGTTGATCCATGAATGTAGGTATGTAGGTAGATGTGTTTCTTGTGTTTGTAAATGTGTTGCTGCTCTTTTGAATGAGTTCGATTGCGTCGCTGGTCTCTGAAGAGATGTTTGACGTCTGTGGATTTGATAAGCTTGTCAGCATAAGCTCGGGAGGTATCAGCACTACGCTGGCACGCAGTACCGACGCTTCGTTACCGCGCAACCACGGCCAGTCGCGCGTGCGCTGAGGATACTGTGAGGGTCGCCCGATCCTCTACGCAGGATCGAGTTGGCGCAGGCTTGGAATTTTTTTAGACCATGGGTCGGCATTGGACTGTAAGAAGCATTGTTGTTGGGGTATCTTGACTCCAATGCAGCTGGTGCATAGTTTCCCGATTCGCTTACCTCCGTGTTCCGCCAGACACTTGTCGCTCTTGTCACGACTTTTTAGAACGGACCCATCGGTTCCTGATTTGACTGTAACTGTGAACAGCCACAGAACGCCTGCGCCTACAGAGGGACCATGCGTGGCTTGCGCTGCACCACCCACAACTCCAACCACACACCCCATATCCAGTGTAAACCCGAAGGAATAAGACCGGGAGGCATGTGGATGGGAGCCACGTTTCATCAACGGAGCCGGCCCACACTCCTTCACAGGCAAACACAAGCACGCTTTATTTGGGGAATCAAGCGCACACAAGGTGGTGGCTGGACCGTAGTCCGCTGCACACTGAGTGCATGGAACCACTCTTTGATCCTAACACGGCCACAAGGACCGTGCACCCTGTCCCCTCCAGCAACGACTAACTGTATCCTGGAGCCAGTATGGACGAGGTAATGGGTAATAGACAGGTAGGCACCTTGTCAACATGCACATCAAGCGCAGCCACACCGGGTATATCAAGAAACAGCCAATCACTTGAAACGAAAAGATAAAATAATATAAATTGGATAATGCATACAGATACGGAAATATAACTCTTCACTAAATAGGCTTAAGAAGGTTGATTACGAACGAATCCGCGATAAGTTCAAGAGGTCAGCAAATATATTTTAAGCAAAATGCCACAAACGCGAAAATCTTATCGTAATTAATTACAGTTAGCTTCACCAACGGTGTGCAAGTTTATAGAAGATAGTACAGGTAGACAATAACATGAGAAAGTAAACCGCTAGGACACAATTGCAAACCTACCACCTAAAATAAAGAAACTTAACATGCAAGCACGCGGTTAGTAAATCGGATGCAGCGTACCTACAAACGCTGCGCCGGTTCTGCCTACGTTCTCTGCAGAACCCGTCGTCTTTTCGGTAGTAGTCCCGAGTGGGCTCGCTCATGGCTTACTAGTCCTGCGACCGCATGTGCTACAGCACCACGCGCTCGATGTCGATGGAGTACAACCCATCGGCGCTTGCCGCTTCCGTACTTACTACTTCTCTGCATGCATGAGATCTTTCTCCCGCACTTCGGCAACTGCCTTCGTGATCAGTTTGTGTCATGCACGCCGATCAACCGCCTTCCATTCCTATGACCTGCAATCAATATTGGAATGTGTGAGGCTCACTTTGATCATGTCGTGGTAACGTAATTTTGCTTTCCCCACATGCCGATTCCCCAAACTCAGTTGACCATCTACTAGGTGTTTTGGTATCTGCGTCGAATCCATACGGCTTACACGATAGAGCCACCACAGGTGTCGCGGCAAAAGTACACAGTCCGCTGCACACATTCCACTTCGACGCAACACTTCGGTGTCCGCAACTCTGTCGCCCCATCCGATGCGCAGAATCCGTCACACACGCTGTTGATGGAACCGCTCGAGATATCGCACATCCCGCCGATACATCGTCCACGTTTCACTCCCGTATGGACAAACGGAAAACACCATGGATTTGTACACCATCAGCTTCGTGCCAATGGTAAGCTGATGGTTGTTCCACACTCGGTACTCAAGCTTCCCGAATGCCGCCGCTGCCTTCGACACGCGGATACGCAGCTCACTGTGTAGCTGCTGGTCAGTCGACATCACACTCCCAATTTAGCAGAAGCGGGATGTGGTTTCCAATACTTCAGCACCAATGCTGATTCGCGGCAGCATTGAAGATTGCACCTCCGGTGCAGGCTGAAAGAGACAGACAGTTTTGTTTTTGTTGAGGGTGAGCCCGAATTTGGCCGCTGTCGAAGCCAGAGCACTAATCATGTGCTGCAACTCATCCGCGCTGTGTGCAAACAACGCACCGTCGTCAGCAAACAACAACATACAGATAGTTGTCTAACAGACTAGGATTCTCGCACCGAAACGACGGATGTTCAGCAACCCACCATCCATACGGTGCTCCTCACGAACATCGTAAGCACAAGCGGCATCAAAAGCACAAGACATCATGACATGAAGATAAATATTAAATAATACAGGAGCTAAGGCACAGGCTTGCTTCACACCAGAGACAACTGCAAAGTCCTCCGAGTTCTCTCCACTCAGCTGCATCCTCACCCGCATACCACCGTGCAGACTTACAATTAACCTTACAAACTTACGCGGGCAACCAAACTTACCCAACACCAGACATAATGTTTCGCGGTTCACAGTATCAAATGCCTTGGTGAAATCAACAAAAAGCGGGTGCAACGGCTGGTATCCTTCTCTGCACGTCTTCTGCAACTGACGAGCCGCAAACACCATATATCTAGTGCTGCGACCCGAATAGAATCCACACTGCTCTTCCGCCTTGTTCGGTTCCACAACCTGACTGACGAGGCGGTTAAGCAGGATTCGAGCAATCACCTTGCCCCCACAACTCAGTAAGTTGATGTCACAATAATTCGTGCAACATTGCTTGCTCCCTTTGCCCTTGTACAGTGGTAGCACAAGGGCATCCTTCAGTTCAGAAGGCACTTTCTCCTCAATCCGTACGCGTTGCACCAAGTGGTGCAGCACAGTCACTAACGCGGGTCCGCCGTGTTTCAACACTTCAAGCGGGATCCCGTCGGCATAGGTACACTTGCCGTTTTGCAGCTGAGCAATTGCTCTCTGCTTTTCATCCATTATCGGCGTGTCCGCCAGAGTGGCCTTTGCCTTGTGCTGCTTGAGGGTGTTCAAAGTAGGCCAGTCGATCTCTGAACAGTTGTTCCAGAGAGTGTCAAAATGATTTCGCCAGATCTGCATTATGTCTGCCGTCTGTGTGCAGGCAGCGCTTGAAGTTGAATCGATCAGCGTCCTTAGTGGCTTCAACCTCGGTTCATACACCGCCTTCAAGAACTCAAAGAATTCTTTGTGTAGGCAGCGTTCGGTGTAGCATCCCATCCACTTCGCCTTGTCCGTTCACCATGCATTTTTAACGCGACGGAGCTCTCGGGTCAGTCGTCGTTGAATTCTGCCAAACTTTTCTTTCCCAAGTCACTGGGTTCTGCCACATGTGCAGCAATTGTTGCATTCTTCCCCGACACCAATCGTCGCATTGTTCTCATCAAGCCAATCAGGCAGCTTACAGTTTTCGTGCCCGATAGTCTCCTGGGCAGCAGCTGTCACCTGGTCGCGAATGTGGTGCCCCAGGTCACCCACTGTGACTATGCAGTTGACATCACACTGGCTGCAGTCATCGCCTTCTCCAGCTCAATACGTTTCACCACAGTACCGAGGGCGAGAATGTTTACTTTGCGCGGATTCACGGTGGGAATGCAATACATAGATTTACGAAAATATATGTACAGTTTGGTCGGCACCAATTCGTGATCAGTGCCATATAGCTCCACGCAGTACACGTGTCATGCGCACTTCACGCATATCACGCTGACGTACGATGAGTTAGTAGAGCACGTGGGTGTGACCACTGTGTGACCATTACGGCACAATAGCGGAGGTGTTTTCCCACCTCTAGCTGATGTGTATAATGATGATGATGATGACCACTC